TGGTCAAGGTAATGTCGTTCTCTGAATCCGCTCATGGAATGCATTGCCTCAAGCTGTATGAAATGAAAGGAAGTTGGAGATGCATCATGTCTTCTCAGTCTCTCCGAGGATCTCCCGCCGGCATTCATTCTTGCAATCTTGGAAACTAATCTGCGTGACTCCTTTCCTTCCACGTTGCCTGTACATACACTCCTTATCCCTGAGCCAGAGTAGGCGTGGCATTTGAACATGGCACGGAATTGGTTACTCGTGGAATATTCCAGTCTGGGACAACTGTCATCTTGTTCTGTGTTGGACAGAGACACGACAACAATTGTGTCAAGATGAAAATATCTCACCAGAAGCATAGACACCTTCAGGTCAATTTGGAGCATGCGGGCACGATGGTCTTGGAAACTAATCTGCGTGACTCCTTTCCTTCCGCGTTGCAGTAGGTGTATACCCGAAATACCCGATCTCAGCTATTTCGGGTATACACCTACTGTGTCCCAAACATGTTTTGAACAACAGCATTTTTCACCGCTTGGGTGCCCAGACTTGGCGTTGAGGGGGATGTTCTTGAAGCTGCTTTTTCTGTACCATTTCACACTGAAAATTACTCGAGATATTTATCTGAAATTTGAATAAGGGAGCCAGCCTTCGCGTGGGACTTCTTTCCTAAACTTTATGTGCTGCGATTGTCGGTTTAGAATATTGAAGAGTTTATCTGTTTTGCACGGCGTTGAGGTAATCACGCAGCAGTCATACCGACAGTATATCGTAGGCAAACGAGGTGCCACTGGTCTCTCCCCCTGCTCGCAGGGTAAGGCAGATAGCTGGAACCGGTGCTAGTCGTTGGCCATCGAAATCAGTGCGGTAGTTCTTCAGTGCAACACTACTCAGCGCTATCTTACTTCGCGATCGGATCGCTCGATTGGATCGCGCCATCGGACCGCTCGACTGGATTCCGCGATTGCGACCGGGGGCGCTTTACCGCCAAAATGTGAACGCCCGTGAGGAATCTAAAAGAGTACGACTATAAGAGAAATATAGCAAGTACAACATTTCAGGGAGTAACATACTTTCCGGAAAATTTCAGAAAACGCCAGGCATGCATGCGCATGAGAAAAACAAAGCAGTTTGTGAACGCGGCCCAACTTAATTCTGTTGTTATGGTGCTCGCAGACCGGCGATGGAGCGCCCTCTGTCGCAATCGCACGATCTCGAAGTATGAACGCGCTCTAGTGCTTGAATTGTACACGTGAGTGATCCCCGAGTTTCGTCCCAATGCCTACTCGTCGTTTTCGTCTGGAGCGTGTTGCGCTGGATTATGCGAAGAAACTATTTGAAAGCCACCGGTTGCGCAGAGGGCCTAGGAGTTCGATTTTCCAGCGATTTCGGGAAGTCTGGCTGTCAAGGTTGGTCCCATATGGGAAGTTCTTGCCGGTTTCGTGTTTTTTCCTCACTCCTGTATACTGACGCGTCTCTTAGCTAATGCAAGCAAGTAACTCAGCACTACTATATATAACACTTGGTCGAGGGGCTTGTCCTCTATCAATGTTCCCTTCTAGTGCTCACATCGAGAACCGCACGGAGCCTTAAAATGTTTCACACATGATCGCTATTGTTGCGCTATGTTGGCTGTCTGATAGTGAGCTTACCCATGCGAATGGGGTTAAAAGATGCTGAGCTAAGGGTTTAGCGGTGACCCCATGGGACAGCTTATTCCGCAAACATCCGTTTCAGGAGTTGTGCTTAGACATTTCATGTGCTATTGTTGCACTATGTATTACAGAAGGAAAGCGAAAGCGTGAGGGGTGACAGATATGCCTGCCACCGTAGTAAGCAGAGCTGAAACAGATCAGTGGTAAGCAGGCTCTAAAGCATGACCCCGCATTTAGCTTATCGAGTGAAAACTGGTATATTTCCTCAATTTCTTATAGCAACTACCAGAACTGTATACTAGAGGTAGTCGTTCTCAACCAAAACAGTGTTTTCAACATTCATACTCATTCACAAATAGAATTGGTTTGTTAGCTTTGTTTTTCAAATAGTTCCAACGTTTAATAACATCAATACTAAAGAATTGAGTGTTTTCAACATTGTAATGAGCGCTTCCACCTCTGATAGCAGTCTTCTGATCCTCTCGAGTTACTCCCGTTGTGGGACGATGGAAAAAAGGAGGGGATCATTTTACAGATAGCTCCACACCTAGTATATAGTTAGACTCAGATCACAGCACATTACTATCTCAAAACGCACACACATAAAAAAGAGCAAATCGAGTAGTTCGCTATGAATGCAGTGACCTTTCCCCCTGCAAAATAAAATTTCGTTCGGGGGAGCCACTGGAGCCGAAGATATTCTTGTTAGATTCCGCAGTTACTTGAATAATTTTACCAACAATGACAGAAGTTTCGCCTCTGACGATATTCCAGCTCAAACCACCAATAGCTCTGAAAACTGGCTTCTGGTTCTCTCTCGTTGTCTTTTGGAGTTTCTTTTTCATCCGAGCGAAGCAGTTGTTGATAGTTTTATCGCTGTTATCGCTCGACTGAGAGTGTTCAGGTTCTATCTTCGTAAAACTTCAGCATTGTTGATACATTTGATAAATTCATTCGCGCCTGCGAGGCCGTTAGGTGGAACCCTTTATTTATGGTCTGACGTTTCAATAAGATCTTCTTCAGAGACCTAAACCAGGCTCACGGTTCAGAAGCTGTTCTCTCTAAATTGTCAAGCGCCTCCACTCCCAAGCGTTTCTGTCAAGAGAACGGCTGAAAAACTCTGAATGCAAGAAAAGGGTCACTTAGTCACCAATGTCAAAGGTAGCCACTCTTCTAGTAGTTCTATCACGAGCAGGAACTGTGCCAACATTACATGGAAGCTCCAGTATCAATAAAAAGCCTCTGGCACAAAGTAAATGATTCGATCTACTGACGCGCTCTCATTGGCGGCTCATAATAATTGCTGCCTCAAAACTGCTGCTTCCATTGAGGTTTGATTCATGCTAATTACTTCTCCAGTGCGCAGTGATGTTCGAAACTCTGCTAATCCTTACAGGGTCTCATACAGGCAGTCATAATCATTGCAAAATCCTTTTACTGCGGACGCGAAGCGAAGCCTTCGTTCGACTTTACACGAGTTTCACGCCCGGACTTATCTACCGGACTTTAGGGCTTCGACTGTTGTGGCTTGCTTTTGTACGCAAAGGACATTTAACGCAAAAATCAAGGCTGCGCCGCTCGTTCAGAAATGATGCCTGGGCATCCCCAATCAAGCGCATGGTCTCCGACTCTGTAGCACCGGGACCGCGAATTTGAACTGAATTCTTTGTTGCGAAAACGCTTCGCTCACTGCGAGGCTATCACCGCGTGCTTCCCATTTTTATGACATTTTGTTCCAACTTTCTCACTTGAAGCGAAGCTCAGCAATGGCAGTTACGAAAAGCACGTTCCATCAGGACACGTTCATCCCTCAGGAACACATTTTACGACCGCGAGACATTAGGAATTGGTTCAGAAACGAAAGTTCATATGTTGTTCAACTCATCAGCTAAGTAAATAGAGAAAGTTCAGCAGTTCACTGAATGAATACTCTTTAACTTCGAACATTGTACAGAATGTGGTATGTGGCGAAAGGAGTCGTTTCAGAGACTTGCTCTCACTTGCAAATATCATAAAGATAACAGCTCTTTCCCCAGTCACATCACTTGTACCCATATGACATTTTTCATTTCCTATCATATCATTCGTAATGACAGGCCTACACTCTCGCGACAACGAAGCCTGCACAGGCTCAGGTGTATGTACATGAGACTGCCCGTGTGTCGTAATCCTCCTCTCGCATTCACGGGATTGAATAACGTCCCATTTTGTGGAAATGAAAGGTGCTCTGCGAATCTGAGCTGTCCACACATCGCATTGAAAGCACGAAATATTGAAGACAAATGAGACTCAGCCCCGCGTACGGTCCTTGCAATGTACGAGGTGAATGGGTCCACAGCTGGAGTAGTTGAAACTTTTAGGTCAAAAGGGCGCAGGAACGGGCCGCAAGGCAGTGATGACCGTGAGCGATTGGCATACCCATGCTAAGCCCATGTTATCCTCATAGTGAAGTATTGGTGCTAAGGTCTTGCAAAGAAATACGCACCTAGCTGTCAGAGGTGAAGGGCCATTAGCGCGCTTGACTATGGGAGCAATGACAAGGCTATATCATATTCGATAATTCGCTTCCTACCAGTCGTTGTCGCATACCCGCTTCAATCTGGAAGAGAACGGCTTGGCGCCGTGGCACACTTATACTGCTTGAAACGCCCCCTCATCTGCAGCGAACTAGAAGTTCACTCATACACACACGAAATCCAAGCGATGTAGTAAGCGAGGCTGCGTGTGTGGCCGTGGCCATACGTTTGGTGAGACCATTCCATGTTCAAATGCCACGCCTACTCCGTCTCAGGGATAGGAGGCGTATATAGTAGGGCCTCACTGATTTCCTCATCAACTGTCATCCGGTAATCATTGCAGAGGTCCAATATTCACCACTCAGGCGATTTTGAGAACAGGTCGTATGCCTGAAAGAGGGTTGTCAACGCTGAAAGCTTTATCATGTTGCTTGTTTCTAGTCATGCTAAAGAAGTGTTAGATAGAGCACGGAGTACTGGATGAATTTTATTTCACATTATTAACAAATGCACTTGTCGAAACATGCAAGAGCATATTAGCGTTACTATTTATTACATAACATTTGACTAAATAACATTCTTCAAACTACCAGACTGAGAAAAACTCAACGACGAGTGTCTGTAAAACAAATTCTTCTTCAGAGAGGGAAAGAACTGATTGAGAGAAGGGACGTGATGAACGCATCTAATCAGCGCTGAGAATTCAAACTCTAAATGACACCTGTACGCAGTAATGTAGTTGAATAAGAAATCGAGCAACAGTGGAACGTTATTTTCGTTATTGAGTGAAATGCTGGTCACACGCTGGTCCTTACTTTGGTCCAAATTTACGATAATGTTGTTACACTTTGCATAGACCATCCTCGCACGAACGTGTTCCATGAGGAGCGCATTTGGAACACAACACACCGGTCTCAACAAAAGGCTGTTTCGTTTTACGGTAATTCCACCTGCAATAACAACGCATCTGAGCCATTCGGATCGCAGAAACATGAGTTACCCTTTGTCAAAGTTGCAGTGAACCGTCAAGGTTGCGTTTTTGTTTTTCTTCACTGCGCAGCCTACATACTTTGCCATATCGTGAGCTATCTGAAAATTGAGAAGGTATAATTCTGACCATTAATCAATCCTGCTAAAAGCGTTTTCTGTTATGCATTTGCAGCCAATTACAGCTAGTAAAGGAGACTTGAAAATTACATACACTGGCAACGCCAACTTTCATTGCATATTCTTCGAACATTTTAGGCAGCTCTCGATCAAGGTTTCCGCGGAACTGGCTAAATTGTGGCACTGCAAGTTTCTAGAAAAGCTCACAGAAATTCAAAGTAAAAGCAAAGATTGTGTTGAATAGTGGAAAAGCTTATGTATACTGGCTTCTTGTATCTCCAACTCAGCAGGTCTTGCCTTTGTTATGCAGAAATGTAGCTATTCTCGGGAGCAACTGAACTGCTCAAATCTAGTTGGGAAGGACACCAGCAAATCGTGTATTGTGTCTCCGCTGTTAGTTGCTAATCTGATGTTCCATAACGATCTTAGTGAGTTGAATTGTCCCCAGCCTGTTGCTAGCTACCTCCCGAACGGTCATGTTATTTCGCTAAATTCGCCTAACTGAGATTCTAAGAAATCGTTGAGCCATTTTTCAAGGTCCATGTCGTTGCTAAGTGTAGGATTTATTTTACATGGCCCCAGGCAGCAGAAATTGTGATATTCTGTTGGCGCAAGGTCCGTCGATCATGATGTGAGGTTGCTCAGTCGAATTCGTTGAGAGACCCCGGTGATTTCTGAATGTGCGATAACGCAGCACCTACCGTATGTTCGATCTAGTCGAACGTATCTGTTTCAGACCAATAGCTTAGGCCATTCGTTGGGCTCCACGATGAAATGGATTAAAAGATCACCGGGCTCTTCTTCAATTCGCAGTGCAGTAGAACCTCCCTATGACATCAAAAGGTCGACCAGAGTGGGCCTTTAGGCTGATTTACATTGCCGTGGTCAAGTTTGGCAATCCTACCTTTCTTCCAATCTCTGCATATGTACATGTCTTGGGCCCCACTCTTCTCCTTCTCTTTTCTTTTTACAAGTTTTGATTGTTTTTGCTACAGTATTACTTTCGCAAGCCTGGATCGGGGTGTGGGGGGGGGGAAGTAACATCCAGCCATAAAGGAAGGTTCAATGTAATTTTGTAGTCCAAACAAAGCCCCTCGGATAAGTGTACATATTTCCTGTGACGAGCGGGTCTGGGAAAAAAGGAGAGAACTTATCTCCCAACCTTTTACTTGAGTTAACGTCGCTTACGTCGCATACGCGTGGAGCGGCATGCTGATAATACAATGCAGTTGTTAAGGAAACCGGGTGGTAAACACTTTTTCGGCCCATATCGCGTTGGGTGGGCAGAAGAATGTTATCTAGTAACAATTTCTCGGCCCATAGCGCGTTGTCTGGGCAGAAGAATGTTATCTAGAAGTCCTCCAGGAAATAACGACAGGACCTGGGCAGCTGTTTGCATGTGAATAGAGGCTGAACAGATTATGAAGTTATGAAGCTGTCATAGTGCTGGAGACCTATTAGGTCGACGTTGATGATGAAAGGTTTCTGTTCTGATGACAGAGAAATAGATGAGGGCTTCCTCAGTTCGTCAGAGAACATTCCTGTTGCAGGCTCGGGAAGTGCCTTCTCCATTACTGCTGAGTGATCTTTGCTGGCGTCTAACATGAACAAACTTTTCTCAATCGATGCACAATATGTTTCTGCTTGCTGCGAGAGCTTTATGTTTGCAAAAAGTATAATACCTTCGAGTTCTACACATTTGGAACTAGAAGCTTTCGAATCACACCTCGTATGTCTGATCCATCCGCCGCTGTTGTCGTTTTTGCTTTCAGTGAACTTTAGAGCCTTCTTCTCGTAATCGCAGCTGTACTTCTGTAAAATACATGTGTACCATCGAAGCATAAATATGCAGTATATCAGCTCCTTGGGTGTTTCACTATTTCGACGGCAAGGCTTTTAAAAGTCATAAATTCCCAACTTTTCCATGTCTCTCAAGGGATCTGAGACGGTACTTGAGAATGAAGATTATTCTAGAAGTAATTATGCAGGTACTAAAAATGTTCAGCGAACAGGATGTACGAGCAATCTATAAGCCGCACGGACAACTAAAGAGTCGTCAGCTAAGAGTAAAAACAGGAAATAAGAAAGTGGCTGTCAAAACATAGTCGAACATAGTTATCCTCAGGAACTAGAATATATGTGTATGCACCTATTTTTTTCCAAAATATATAAGAACTATACCAATTTGTTCATCTTTGTTGCAGTCGGTGCTTCCGGATGCAAAAGCTTGGGATTTCCTTTGGCTACCTTTCGCCGCACATCGTTGATTGAATTTAATATAGCTGTTCTTTGAGCGCTATTCAGACCTCCTTTAGTATCTGGACAGTTGACTGAAATATCGAGGTGCACCTGCTCTCCAAGTTCTCTTTCCAAGGCACTTCTGAACTCACTCGCGGTCTCCAAAAGTTGCACTTCCAACAGAAGTATGACCAGCACAGTCTGAAAGTTTGTTTTATTAGTGGAAAAGCCATAAAATAAGCAGGTACTTCTCTCCGGCTGATCCAACAAAATATCAGTCATTAAGCTGGCGGAAGAGCTGCGTCCGTTGTGAATGTTCAGAACGTAAACTATTCAGAGTTGCAATTCTTTGACTAGTAATACTCTCTTCTTTTTTTGATAAAAGAAAGATCAATTACTAGCGTCCTGTGGGCTGCTAAGCCATCTCGTGGTTTTGTGCGCCATTCTACTTTCAGCGTCACAATTATTCGGGGAAGTTTGAAGACTATCAACCCAAAATCAGTGAATTCCTTGGTTTCAAGGTTGAAGACCGGGGACTGCGAGCTGAGATGTTCTGTCGTAAAGTTCTGTTATCATTTGCGAAACTTTGTGAACTTATCAATGTCGATTGCGATGTTTCTACGCGTAACAGCTGCGAGATCTGAGGAGAGTCGTCGATCAACAGATACTGCTTATCAAAGACTGTGTTTCAATGCGACGGGGCCAGAAAAGGTCGAGCCGAAGTTCAAGGTTGGACAAATTTCCCTCATGGTTATAACACTGCTTTTGGATGGTACTCCTTTTCTGGATACCTGTTGCATGCGAGTGCTTCAAATGCCCGCCACAATCAAAAACGGCAGCCTGCATTTCGAAATGGTGACAGAATAGCAAAACTCACACAGCAAAAACGATGATGGATATACTTGATTTTTTTATATATCCGTGATAGTGAGCATAATCTCATAGAATCGGACAAAACTTTGCCGCTAATCTAACAGTACATATCTCATCGCATCTGTATAAAAGAAGAGAAAATTTGATGGACCGTCAAAAATCACTTCGATGATCGCATTGGCCATTCACAGGATAGGTTAATGAACCAAATACATTTATTCCATGCAACCTATGTTATATTTCATAAAACTTTAATTACGTAAGCCATGCTATTAATTGCAAACCATCGAAATCCGGATTGGAATTCAAAAATGGATTGGATACGACAATGGGCTACATGCAATGGTGCACATTAACACTCAGGTGTGCAAAGTTTATGCAATCTCCGCGCCTCCAATTAATGAGAACATATTAGACACGTTGAATGGCGCATAACGAAAAAAAAACAATCATTACAGTGATGCCAGCGTCAGAAGAATTCAGAACTGAATCGGTCACTTTACAGTCAGTACAACATCGGACAGTACTTAAACCAGATGGCGCATTCTGCATATTACACCTATTTTGTCACGGAGAGACCCTTCACCTGACATAGAGGTGCTCCCTCATTATGATCTTAGAAATGACCTGTTCTCGAATATTCTCGAATACGAATAAGCTTACCAGTGTTAGAGCATGCACAAGCATATCGGCAGCGCTGCTTTCCAGTGCATTTAGACACGCCTATCTGCTTTTATTGGGGATCCTCTGTGACCTTCGCGGTTGTTCCAGGCAATTTTTTGATTGGATGTGCTACATTCAACGTTTTGAGAGTCGTTCATCCACGAAGTTCTTCACGCGAGCGCGGTCACGCGTGTTTCGGAACCGGTTCGCAGAACATCTCAAGCAGCATGCAATTAGTGAAGGAATAACAACTTAGTTCTGTTTTTCACTGCGACTCTACCTTGTCTCTGTAGGAATGTTTTTGTTCGTTATAACTGCAGATCATCCCGAGCATCTCCTTCAGGATAATTTCGCTTGTTATCCTACTCGTTGAATCACTCCGCTGTAATTTTTTTCAAGCAAGCTAGATCTTGCAAGCTCTTCTCAATTATTTAATTATGTACTATCCAATACAACGATGGTTGCACAACTTGACAGTTGTGAAAGTAGTGCTGTGATTGCATCCATTACAAGAGTAATGTTGAACTCTTCAAGGACTTTGCACTGTTGCTGAGTTGTGAAATATTACCCACTCGTTCGTGAGAAACCCAGCACCGAAGAACCGATAAATATCTAATTCTTGCTCGGAGGGCAGTTCTCCAAATCTAGCCACCACATTAAACTGCAGACGGTTCAAAGCTTAGTTAAAAATCGTATCTGATGTTTGTTGTCTTTATCACATGCACCATATGGCGCATAATAGGATCACTATAAAGCTAAGGGGGTGAACATTTCGTAATTGATCAATCCACATTTAGTATGGCAAACGCGTTTCACTTTATTCAGATTTCTACTGGCTTATTGTGAAGTATGGCTTATGTACCATGCGGAAGCCAGCCGATGGGCAAGTCGAAGTTCTTGTTCTCGCAGACAAGTTTTTCACCGTTTCATACGGTCCATAGACGGCTTGCCGACCAAGACGGGAAAGGGGTCTGGGATTTGGACCGCTTTCGTGATAAGTAGGCAACATGCCACTATACCACGGCCACCGCATGACTAATTGAAGAACCGATGTCCAGTGATGGCAAACAGGAGCTCACTGTAGCAAAGAAGGATGTCATCTCACCAAGCTGATCAGGATTTTCAGGAAAAAATCCAAGGGTGAGAAGTCATTATATTGTAATTAAGTCACAGCAGCGAATTATCTCATCCGCGTTCCGTAAGCCATTTTGATCCTCAGAACATAAGCCAAGCTTATGGGCATGCTGTTCATGCTTTTCGATCAGAATTTAGCCTAGTGGGGCCTAGGGGGGGTCTCGTAGATTGCGTCTAACCGCTTTCGTAGATCACGTAACAGATTCTAAAGTCTTCGCTGTCTAAATGGAATTGAATGCTTTTTGTTGGAAACATTTGAAGTCCGGAAGGTCGAGACCCAAAGAGTGGTATAGAAACCGAACGATAGCCCAGCTATAAGTTGCTAGTTGTTTTATCGTCGTCCTCAAAAGTACTGCTCTATGTTGAATGCGGATTTTGCTTTGCCGTCTACTTATGCTTTTAGAGTGAGCACTCCTCCCTACCAGATGCATAACAGCCCTTTTCGGTAAAATGTCCAATGCCATATTGGTAAGACATTTTTGGAAAATGCGGAAACTTGACAAGTCCTCGAAAGCTGGCTTGTGAGGGCTCCCAGTTCTATTACACTCCAAGCGCTCAGAGAGTGCACAAAACGCGTGCCTCCCAAAAATATAATAAAAAAACACTCAAAAATTGATAACTCAATTACGACCTTTGTTCTCAAGGAAAGGAGAGTAAAGATATAGCGATTTTGGTAAAAGCCCATTATGAGTTACGACCAAAGAAATTTTCAATTCATTTCATGCTGGGAATCGGCGCAGTTTGTCGACGAGGGGGCATTCTGCTTTCCATAGATGTGCCGACCCATCTAGGTAGCCTTTTCTCGAGTTGACACGTTTTAGGATGGTGGCTAGACGATCTTGCTCCAGCTTCACAAGTTTTACCAGAGTGAGATTTGTAAACCGGAACCTAGGGAAGCAATGGTAGTACAAAATGCCCCCCCCCCCGTCGACAAACAGCGCCCTGGGAATCATTTGTGAAATGACGATGTCATAATACAGTACCGTTCACAACTTCGAAATTGTACTTGCATTACATTCACGTAAATTTTGATGATCATATTCTATTCTACCATTATTTATTCTACATATTCTACCTATTTATGATCAAAACTTTGTTCCCTGGTGAGAATGAAGCATCAAATAAAAGCGGTCGTTCAAAGTGCGTTGCTGAATGCTTGACAACTCAGTGGTCGAAGTTGGAACGAAATTCGTGTCAATGCAACGGGATGTGTCCTCCAAATCCTCGTTCTACGCAAAGGCATGAACGATCGCTCTATGATGAAGCGTTATATACAACATTTTACGGTGCATGCATAATATCTGGATTTGTTTCGCTTTGAAATGTCCTTACGGTAAGATGTGTCGGTTAGACAGATGCACTAGTAAACGAGAAAACTCACTGAATGCCACTCAAAAAGTTTATGGAATGTTCTGAAATCAAGCTGGCCTAACCGCACTTAAGCAGCGCAATAACTTTTATTGCATTAGATTGGTATGCCAGAACATGAAACTGGTGTATCAGTATGTTCAATGAAGTATACACCTCTAAGAAGAGCCCTCATAAAATCTGGAACTTTTAATTAGAACTGGCTCAGCAGAGCGGAAGGGGGCCATTATATATGTTTCTGACAAATCATCGTCGCTACAAGCATTCGGAAATGGAACCAATTATTGAAATACATTCTGCATGATAGACCACCCTGTTGCGGAAGAACCGTCGCATTTTGTGTGGACGCGAAAGCCAGTGAGCGACTCATGCTTTTTTGAATTCTTGCGATATGCAGATTCGGAGCACTGCACTAGTGAGGCTTATTGCTTGATTGTGTTAGTCTTAAAATGCATGTGTGCTTTTCCCCTAAACGTGTGCGAATTTACTTTCCATAAAGGTCGCTGTTGATCTTTCTACATCGGGACTCCTTGCAGTAAAAACAGAGCAGGGCAAGGCCGCAGACTAGGCTATGAGGAGCATTTTTCTTTTTGACTACCATACGGGATCCTTTTATGGACAAAAGTAGCGGTACAGCAATCGTAACGTTTATAAAGGACGGTTTGGCGGGTAATAAATAGTTGAATGCTGATTATGTGCCGTATAAGTCCTGATTTTCATGAGTGCTGATGTTCGCGTCGAATCGCTGGGAGAATAGATGAATTTTCACCATCATTCAGCAGTTCCTATGTCTCCAGTGATCCAGACGTGAATGCGCTAGGTACAAAAAAATTTAGCATGAACCGTAATCGAGAGAGATGTGTCAGAGGCGAGAGTGCACAGTGAAAGGGTAAACCATTAATAGTTCATTGTTCAGAATTCTTGAGATGGTAGGAAAATGGGATGATTCGGAGAACTGAAGATAATTTTTCAATAGAAGCTTACATTTATAAAGCACGGTTGAGCAGTGATTGAGAAAGTGTGTTGGGGCGCAGTTTGTCGACGGGGGACGGGGGGGGGCATTTTGCTTTCCATAGATGTGTCGACCCATCTAGGCAGCCGTTTCTCGAGTTGACACGTTTTAGGATAGTGGCTAGACGATCTTACTTCAGCTTCACAAGAGTTCACAAGTTTTACCAGAGTGAGATTTGTAAACCGGAACTAGGGAAGCAATGATAATACAAAATGCCCCCCGTCGACAAACAGCGCCGCGTGTTGGCTCATGCACCAAACATAGTTCATTAGAGTAGGACATCGCGGAGTCTGCACAATTCCCACGCATTTCTTTGCATTAGAGCGATGAGAATGAAGGCGAAATCATAGGAATGATGAAGAGGATAGTTTCTTACTCCCACTGTTTACCCCCACTGTAACTGTTTACTCATCTCCACAGAGGATACCATCGCCTTTGATATATCATGATTTTCTAATAGCTGTGAATCAGAAATGAGCGATATACTTGCATGGGTGACAAGGTCATTACGGCAACGGAGTCCTTTTGGCTCGCTATAAGCAGGTGACCTGGTTCTCATGAGCTTTGTGTGTACGTTCACTGCGCATTTTCCCTAAACCTTTCTCATAACTGTGAATTGAGAACCATAAATCAACACATGATGGCAGCGAAATGTTATGAAGAAGAAAAGTGCACTCGAAAAAAACCACATAGACCGTTCTGAGGTACTCTCTATTTCTATAGAACCAGAACCCAGTCCAGTTTTCTAGTTTTTTCAACACCTTCTCCGAAGTTACAAAGTTGCCCTTTCTGCTGTCACTTTTGCAGTAGCTTGTTGAGGAACACAATTCTGTCCTCGGCTGTCGATTTTGTCGCGTAGACCCCTAAGACCACCCACAGTGAATCATTTACACAGATGGGAGAAAACTCTACCTGAACGATTTGATGAAGAGCTCTAACAGAATAATGAAGAGTCGCAGTGATACAAAGGCAGAAATACGGGCGAACGAGAAATGCACTAAAAACCGTGACGTGCGTCATAGCAGCAGTGGCGCTCTGGTTCAAACCAATCATTGTGAAATGTGGTGTAGAGATATCGACAGGCTCAGAAGATAATAAGTTGGCACGGGGTGCTTGAATGCACCATATTGTCAGATCGCTCACTGCCAATGTGGTGCGTTCCTTTCAGCTGTATACATATAACGTGAGAGGTACCGAAAGCAGATGGCAAATGCTTTTGCGAATGTCAGAAAGCAGTCGACAGTTCCTCAGTAGTCGTGGAGGACGCAGCGTTTCAGAGATGCAAAAATTGAAAGGCATATCTTCACTGAGCACTTCTGGGTGATTTATGTCGTGAAGTCATGTAGAAGACGTAGGTCAACCTACCGACGACTATAAATGTGCGCCATGTATATCGCAACAACAAGCCATAAATATCATCAAACAAAGTTCGCAAGCGCTTGAAAAATTCCTGATGCAACCTTTTACTTTTTTGTTTTATCATGCTCATCGTTATTGCCTATTGTATATT